CGCTTTACCGTTGTTAAAATCTGAGATTTTTGAAGTGCTTCTTTAGGCGCGTTTTCCATTTTTTGTGGAGAGCGAATTAGATTGATCCGTCAGATTGTAACGCTTAAAATCGGCTATATTCGATTAATTGAAATGTTTTAAATATTGTTTAAAACATCCCAAAAACTGAAAATCAAGCCTACATACTGTTCGCGAGAAAATTGTTCAGCATTTCATCCTCTCTGCAATAGACTACAATTCAAAATTGTATCTTAAAGTGACTCCGTAATAAGGAGGCGAAAAGGAAAAAATATTGCCGAAAACCAAAAAATATAACGAGGTTAGTTGAATATATGGATTAAAATATTACAGATACTAAAAATCGGACCTGCATAGTGTAAGCGAGGGAAATGTTAATTGTATCATCTTCTTTTTAATGAGCTATTATTCAATTTATTCATGGCCTTGCTTTGAAGTCTGTATTTTATGTAATAAACTTTATTGTTAACCTTAAAAATTTATTATTAAACAAATTTAAACTAATTAACCCTAACTACAATACACCTAGAATATATAGATTAGTAAAGTTATACAAAAGTGGCTCTCCACTTAGTGCTATCATCATTAATATCAATGGGAAACTTAAAATTTTGGCTAAATATCTCTATTCCACACTCAATAACCTAAAATAGTAGATAGTAGAATGAAAAAAATTAATGGAGGTGGATCAAATGCTTGAAAGAATAAATAGACAATAGGTAAATATTGTTTGGTCTGTTTTAATGCAGAAAATTAATATACCAGTATTAACTGGAAAGATGTAATATAAATAATTAAAAAATACTGGGATACAGGAAAATATGAATTGACCTATCTCAGTAGCTAAAAATCGAATCTGCATACAGTAAGTGAGAGAAATGTTCAGCATTTGATCCTCTTTATACATGAGGTATTATTTATAATTTATATTTCATATTATTATTCTCGGCTTGTTGCTGTTTTAACTTCTATCGTGTGGTCTAAAGCACACACCTTATTTTTTTTTCTTATGTAGGCACAAGACTTCCATTGAACTCGTATAGTGCCCCTCAGCTTATATTTTAAGGTAACTTTTAATTGAGTAGTCTTAATGAGTAATAGAATATTAGGTAATATTAATATTATACAGAATTCAATGGAGTAGAGAGAAACGTCATTGGAAACATTGTTAGCTCTTTAAAGATTTAACGGCGTAGATTGTTATCAGCTGCGTGATTAAGATTCTATCAAAGTAGTTAATTGTTTTATCTTGGAGATAACACTTCGAGGCTGAGCAGGTCGTAATGGAACACCAATTACCTCGCTGGAAGGATTCGCTTTACAATTATAGCGGAGATAAGGATGTCAGGATATATTGCATGTCCTGCGCAAGGATATCCTTCCAAGAGGGGGTATATGTTCGGCTACTTCCTTCGTCCTTAATATTTCAATTTCTTTGTTATAGTACAAATTTACATTATCTATGTTCGGAATGGTACTGAAAATAAAAAAGTAGAATTTGCCTGTCTTGGGCTATTTCTTTCCAGTTATCTGCAAGAAGCTCTGTTGTATCTTTGTTAATTCTATCTATCCATCTACATTTTGGCCTTCCACGTGGTCTTTTGCCTTCTATTTAGGCATTCATTGTTACATAGAGGCTTCCAGATGGATTATAACGAGTTACATGCCCCTTTCATCTTATCCTCTGTGCCTTCATATTATTAGATATTGATTGACCAGTTTCTGTAAGTAATTCTTTATTGGTCTTTATCGTGCGGTGGATTTTCCTCTCAAATCTTTCAACACTTTTTTCTAGGGTGCTGGTTAGTGTCCAGGTCTCACGGCCATATATTAGAACTGGCTTTATTATACCACTGTACACCTTTAGTTTGAGATTTTTCTGGATTTCAATACTTTTGATAGGGAGAAGAAAGCTCTGTTTGTTATACGCTGGTCCGTTGGTCATTCATTGAGGTTATTGTGGACCCGAGGTATTTGAACGTTTCAACTCTCGGGAATGATTTTTCTTCTACGCAGATCCTGTTATTATCTTGAAGATATAATAAGAATTGTAGTGAGTGAATAGTCAGATTGAAAGTATACGTTACAATGTCAATTCAAAAATAACCCCTCATTATATAAACATTCGTTACTTTTTGGGTAAAAGTAACTAACATATCCTCGAATAAGTCTCCATTTAGTTCTTCTTCAACCTTTTTTAGAAGTTATCTGGCATGAGTGTTGCTCCATCCAGTTCGTTACATTTATCATGAGAAGATGTATACCTATGTTACTGGTAACATGAGAAGCTAACATGCTGGTACTGGTACTGATGTAGAGATGCCGGTTAGGTTACCTCATGGTACTAGCTGTAGTGGGATTATCAAGATTCATTTCTCGTTGAGAAATAATTATTAACTGACCAAGGTGTGAATCGAACCCACAGGCACTCTTCTGTAAATAACCTACAGGAAGTTAAATGTAAATGATTCGTTTTGGAGGGAATAGGCGCATAGCCTTCCGCTTTTATATCGGGGTTTAATGTTATTTACACTCGTGAATCTTTAAAACAAAACCCCGGCACTGGATATCGACTTTTTGAGGGTGTTTTACTGTGATTGGGAATTCGGGGATCTATTACCTTTTATGACACTGTGTGAGAAGAAACAATAAGAATATATATATATGAAATGTGGGACTTAGTAAACACTTTGAATGAATTGATTCACCTGGTTTATTCTTCAATCGTGAGGCCTATAGGACAACTAAATAAAAGGACTGTTCACTCCGGTATAATAAAACAATTTATTTTAACAACTGATAATAAATGAATATATATGAGTGAACAGTCGGCTTGATAATCTTGGTCTCCAATGTAGTAAACCTCTCTTCCCAGATGACGTCTTCTTGTGTTGGTGTCCAGGCCTAAAGTGTTTGGCGTCGTCCTCGCCATCTGTTGCCAGCTACCTGATCGGACCTTTTCTTCTTTTCGATTCTTTATCGATGTGAGATTTTCCAATGAGCAATTTGTCCACTGCACAATTGAGTACAATTCACAGTGCTACCTCACATTCCTATATATTATATATACCTTCCCATTCCCTCACACATTGTCATCTAAAGGAGTCTAGAGGGGGATGCCTACTACATTTCACCTCAACGTGCTCAGCCATTACAATGTACTCATGTTACTGTAATAATGGTATACTGTCCTAAAGTTTTTCCCTGAATATTTTACTTTCACATACATAGCTAAGGCCTATATGAAATATTTAGTAAGGGAACATATTGTGATCGTGGAAATTTTGCGAATCCGAGTTTTCAACGGAAATACAACTTTTGATACACATTATGAGTCCAAATGATAATAACCAAGTCTTAAAAAATGGTCTGTGTGTGTTTTAACAGCCTAGTTCAAAAATGAAAACTCATAGAATTGTGAAATTGCATATTTAAGGTTTTTATAAGCCTGGGATATTACAGTAACTGGAAGTGGCAGTTTTATTATCGATTAAACATTTTTTCGATTTTCATGAAAACGACTCTAACGATTTTGATTAAATTCATTATGTCAGTGTGAAATTAAACAGTTATTAATATAATCCAGGTTTTATTCTCATTGCTCTTCTATAACAGAGTTTAAATGCCTAAATTTCAAAATTTATTTCTCTGCATTATGAAGGTCACTAAAAACTTGTTTATATAATATAGATGTATATTATTTAGTTAATGCAATTTATGCAAAAATAGGACTAAGAATGATTCTTGAGAAGAATTGTAGTTAGTAAGAGATACTAAGCCCGGACCGCAGCGAAGTGAAGAAGGCTCTATTAAAATTATCTGCGGCGTCTAAACTCGACTTAACACGTTAGCTGCTGACTGTATATGACTTTAATAAAGCCTATTTGGACTTACGGAATCGAGCTTTGGGGCTCTACTAAACCATCGAATTCCTCTTGTATTCAATCCTTACAATCCAAAATCCTTCGTAAAATCCTCAATGCACCTTACTTTATCACAAATAAAATCATCCATAATGACCTTAACGTATCATACGTTTCCGATTTAGCCCAATCCAGATACCTATTCTTCCATAATAAACTTCAGAACCATCCGAACTATCTTGTTTCTAATCTTGCTTCCTCTTCTATTCCTGATAACGGCGTCTGAAAAGAAGATGGTCTCGGGATCTTGTAATACAGAACTTTGATTGGAGTTCTACCAATGGGTAATTTCTCTTCATGTCGTACACGTCATGCTACCAATATCACATTTACTTGATGTATTTTTCATGTAATACAGTTGTAAATTTCATTTAAAGTCGTGGTATGAACCTTCACTAATTGTTGATTTTTTGTAGGCTATCTTTATAATCGATATTGTTTATATGAATAAGCTTTTTTCACTGTTATGGCTCATACGTCTAGTGCATTAGGTAGAAGTGTAGCTATTTATATTTATTATTATTATCTTTATTATTCTCGCTTTTGCGGATTCAAAGCTGAAGGTGGGGGACAAGTCCAACCATCTGCAGTTATAATTTATTTTAGATATTTAAAACTTTCTCGTAATCCTGGCTGCATCCAAGAGAACCGCTTGCTGAGGCTCTCTTAACACATCTCGGGGTAATTCCAAGCCGTCCGTACCTGCCACCGTTGACTTTGGGATCAGACCATTGGTTGATATTATTATTGGTGTAACCAATACGCTCTCCAAATGGTACAACTCCTTTAATTCAATCGCCAGTTCTTGGTACTTACGGAGCTTCTCTTCCACGGTCGTACTTATGTTATCGTTTGGAATCTATTAGCTTTGCCTTCTTTGCTCCTAAATCTGTAATAAGGATACTGGGTCTGTTGTGACGCACTGTATGGTCCGTTATTATAGATTCGTCCCAATACATCTTGAGAGAGCCTTTCTGAAGTAGCCTTATCGGATTGTATTATATATTTATATTTATTATTATTTATATGTTTATTTTATGTATTTATTTCTGTTGACAGAGACAGTGAGAGATGCTGCAGCCGATCAACTTCTCAACTATATGGGAGGGCGCAAGGTAATTGCAAACAGCTTATTAATAAGATCTAATTATGTTAATTAAATTTCTTATAAAAAAAACTAAGGTGAGTGCTTTAGACCACACGCTAGAAGTGGAAACATGAACTTGAAATATGGAAAATTACGTAACCACTTGAAAAGGTAACGACGCTATTATGGATTCTACTTTGTATAATGATTCCCTTCTAGCTACATTTGCTGACGATATCGCCATCCTATTATCCCACCCAGACCCTGAAACAGCATCCCTAAACCTACAAAGACACATCTCCCTAATAGAGCAATGGTGCAACAATTGGCGCATCGAAATCAACGAATCCAAATGCTAGCATGTCACCTTTACCCTCCGGCGCAGCTCCTGTCCACATATCCTTTTCAACTCTGAACCCACATACCAGACTTAAAAGACAAGAACTTAACCGACGATTTGGCCAGTTATACAGACTACTTAACAGAAAATCTAATCTCTTAATTGAAAACAAACTATTAATATACAAGACCATACTGAAACCCATCTGGACCTACGAACTTGAACTGTGGGGGACAACTAAATTTTCGAACATCAAACGCATCCAATCCTTTCATTCAAAAGTACTTCTTACAATAGTAAATGCTCCTCATTAAGTTACAAACAAAACTCTACATAATGATCTTAACACCCCTTATGTCCTTGACGTTATTCCATCCCGTTTTTCAAATTTTCATCAAAACCTAATCCATCATCATAATTCGTTAGCACAATCCTTATCCAGCTCCAGACATCCCTTCAACCCTCTTCGAAGGTTAAAAAGACAGTGGCCTCGAGATCTTTTGTAAATACGTCATTGGACTCCTGGCAATTTCCAGCTTCTCCACTCAAGTCATGAGCGTATGTGGCTTTAGCGCCCTTTCTCAGTCTCCACTGGATTTCCATATGAGTGATGCGGCTGAGAGAGAAGCGCTGGGATCTCTTAGAGTCTTGCCTTATCTTCCACATATGGGGGAAAGGGCCCGACTTGGAGCTTCCTCGGCTGACTGTAAATAAGTATGAATGTTTTTGTTTGTTTTTTCTTATTTATTCATTTTTAAAATTTGTGTTGAATCATATTTATTTCCTCTGTTTTACTAAGCTTTCTTTTTCTTATTTTTGTCATAATTTCTATTATTTTTGTAATTGTATATCTTGTATGAATCAGTTTCTTACATCTCAAATACTCAATGTCCTTGATTGAGGAAAAATGTATTGTATTAAAAAAAAAAAAAAATTTGTATAAGTTTTTTAAAAATATTTTTTATGACGAATCATCAAAAGATCTCGTTGAGTATTTACCTTCTCAGTTAGAAATGCGTAGTTCACCTTCTGCAAGAATCGATTTTTCGCACGATTTTTCTGTTGCGTTTCAACATAGACAAGAGACCTTCAAGATAAACGTGCACAGTGAAACGCCATGACTAACCTCAGTATTAAGGATGTTATTATTTATGTATTTTTTTTTCTTTAAAAAATGATCATTATTATTTTTTTTTATTTAACGTAAAAACAGTTTTGGCGTCTTATGTCAAGGTCTAGACTGGCGGAAATGTATCCAATTCCAAATATAGCGTGTCTAAAGTCTCTTATGATTTTTTTTAAAATTTAATTTCATTGGATGGATATTTCTAGGAAAATGCTGAGAATGACGAAGATGGATAAAAGCAAGAAAATTAATTTTACTAATGAGGGCAGAATAATTGACATTTTCATTAATTAATATAAAGAGAAAAATGACATTTTTTTATGCGCCTATATGTTAAAGAATCAATATTTATATTCATATTTAAAAAATGTTTATAATATCTATGTTGGTCTTTCGATATTCCATCCTTACTGGAATATTACAAAACACATAATTAAAATAGAAAAATATATATGAAAATATTTACCATCTGAATAGTTGAATTTCAAAACAGAAATAGATATAATAATATAAAACGTAAACTGAATATAAATATGTAAAGTAAACTGAGAAATAACAACAACGAGGTTGTAATTAAATTACATCCAGCGAATTCATTTCCTTTAAACACTAATTCAATTTATGGAACCATCGATGTGTTGAAGTCTGATGGATTTCCGATGCGTTGATTTTAAGTAATTATATTTACCTTTCTTATAAATGTTGCAAATAATTTCATTTCATCATTAAATAATGAAATAGCTCAACATAACGTATCTCTGCTGGATAAGAATAATATTTCATTACCATTATAATATATTATTTGGCCTGTGTTAATAATTCGCAGACAATTTTGTTTAGTGAAGAAATAGCAATATGAAAATAAGTAGATTCTTGGTCGATTACAATATTCCATTTAACATAATAGACCAAAATTTTGTACAAATTGCTTTGCCAGGCCTATTTTTAAACACTGACTGGAAAGATAATAAACTTAATAAAGACAAAATAATACCTTGATCTTGGGATTTTCTAAATTATTAATAAAAATAAAATGTAAGAACAAACAAAAGCCTTTAAGAAATAATAAATTTAATATATCACCAAGGAAAAAAGGTGTAGGAGACTATTCTGCTTCTAAATGCAACATTTTTAAAGAGGAAAATATTATTAAGTATACCAAAACTAAGGGACTGTATCTTTATTAGCAATTGTCCGATTTTTACAATTTTTTTTCGGTTTTTAGGCAATTTAGTAATCTTTCTAATTATCATGGGTACAATATAATTACAATGAGACTCTTTTTTTCATGTGAAGGAGAAGAATATCTTCAAAATGAGTGGCCGTTCATTGGATTTGATGAAGAATTGACGTAGTTATGGCGTACCGACAAAAAAACAACTTTTAGAAATAATATATAGGATACATCCTCCAATATCGAACAACGCTTGGACTAAGATCGTATTAAGTAACAGTACTGGTAATGGTAGCTACTGAGCTGTAGTGGTCACTATTTCTCGTAACTTTCGCCGGACTTACACAATCCATAGCACGGTAGCAACTGCCTTCATAATAGTGGTTGTTTATTTTATCCCGCCATTGTTGATGTAAATATCAAGTAGCTCTGACAAGTTTTATCACTGGTTAAGATGTATTCGTCAATATTAATTTGTGTTTTAGTCGTTTTTATTTAACTTATTTATGTAACATAGTCTTTTATTAGTTACTAGTTGGCCAGTTCGAATAATTCTCAGAATATTTTGTTTAGTGAAGAAATAGCAAAACAATATGGAAATAAGTAGTTCCTATTTATTATGTAAGGAAGAAATTAATATTTTTTTCCTTAGTCGATTACAATATTCCATTAAACATAATAGACAAAAATATTTGTACGAATTGCTTTGCTAGGACCTTATTTTTTTTAAACGCTGACTGGAAAGATAATAAAAGTAATAAAATAAATGCTCCGATCATGGGATTTTCGAAATTATTAAAAAAATAAAATGTAACAACCAAATGTCTTTAAGAAATAATAAAGTTAATATATCAGCCAGGAAAAAAAGTGTAGTTAATTATTCTACACCTAAATACAATATCTTTAAACAGGAATACATTATTAAGTATACCAAAACTAATGGACTGTATCTTTGTTAATAATTGTCCGATGTTTTGTTTGTTTTGTAGGTAATTTAGTAATCTTTCTAATTATCATGGGTATAATCAAGAAAACAATGCATACTTTTTGAATTATTCGTAAATAAAGTTTCTTTTCATTCATAACTTTTTTTCAGAATTTTCGGGGAGTTAGGATTATTTTTCGCATGTGAAGGGAAAGAATATCTTCAATATGAGTGGTCAATCATTGGATTTGATGAATAATTGACGAAGTTATGGCGTACAGACAAAAAAACACCTTTTAGAAACAATATATAGGATAAAATAAAAAATCTGTCAAGCAGGTTCATTGGAGGGTCAAACAATTTGAAATCACCCTATTTGAATTGATTTGGTTGTTCGACATTTTTAATCTTTATAATTTCTTACCAGTTAATCCATATTTATTTGAAACTTCAATTCGTTGTTAAAAAAAATTTAAGTCTCGCAGTTTTTTTCTTGTTGTCCATTTTGGAGTTTGCTTCCGACTGAAAACATTTTTTGAGAAAATGTCATTAACTATGACAATTTTGTATTCGTAGATATCGAACCAATGGGTATTGTATGAATTGCGGCAGTAAAGAGGGTGTAGATAAATGGATTCAAGACGCTCCCTTGTGAAACACTAGCCCTAACTGGATAATAATTGAAGAATTCATTAATTTACATTATTTCATTTTTCATTTTGCCTCTGAAGGTTGGCTATAAATGCTTAGTCCACCATCGATTACTTCTTGTATAGGGTTGAACTGGTTTTTACATCTTTCATATGAATTAATTTAATTATGTGATAACAATTAGAAAAAAAGGAATATGCCAGATGTCTGGACAAAATAATGTTTGCATGTATGATAAAAAAAAACGATGGAAGTTATTCAGGTAGAAAAATAATTTACATCAGTGGAAAATTCTTAAATAGATTATTTTCATTCTTTTTTTCTCCTAATAATTCCTCACGCAACAATTTTCACTTCTACAAAAAGCTCGGTAAACCACAAAGATAGATTTATACAGATTCTGTTACGCAATGAAATCACTCGATATGCAACACCTTTATGTAACTCAGTAATTTGTCGCATGTTACTATCGTGAATGCATTGACCATTGTTATCTGATCTCATTGTCGGCTTCATATCGATAATCGGGGCTTCCAAAGAGGTAGATATTTTACAGCCACCATCGAAGTTATAGGAGATCAAAACAACTTATGGAAACTTTTGTAAAGCGTAAATAATCGAGGTTGTCAAACTCCAGCTGATACTAGCTTGTTACAAAAGTCTTGGTGCATGAACACAACCCTTAATCCAACTCTTAAGAATGTTTTAGTTCTTACAATTTATGTTAATGTCTACTTTGGCTAATCCTTTAATTATTTGTGACTTGAGTTGGTTTTATGGCTTCGTTTAGATTTTTAAAATCCACGAGTAAA